GGAAGTTATCTCACGAGGCTGGCAATGACCCAGAGGACAGCAGGTGTGTACTAGGAGCCCCTCCCCCAAGGGCATCTAAGGAAGGAGGATGGAAGGTGGAGGCTCTTTGAAGCAAAAGAAATGGTTCTAAAAGGGGCTTTGATTCTTGATGGACTATTTACAAGAGAAAGTTTTAAAGACTTAATTTTTTTATTATCTGTTTAATGTTTATTGATGTAAACATTTTTAATTTTATTTAATTTTTAATTTTGGATGTTTATTTTTGAGAGAGAGAGACAGAGCGCACGCGGAGGAGGGGCAGAGAGAGAGGGAGACACAGAATCCAAGGCAGGTTCCAGGCTCTGAGCTGTCAGCACAGAGCCTGACGCGGAGCTTGAACTTGTGAATTGCGATGTCATGACCTGAGCCGAAGTCGGGCGCTGAGCCACCCAGGCGCCCCTTAAAAGAGAAAGTGTTAAAAGTAGTTACTACTTCCTGGTATGTTGATCTCTTCTACCGCCCCTCCGTCTCACCCCCCACCCCCCAGCCCTCCAACTACCAACAAGAATGGAGAACGTGGATCAAGAAGCAATTGGGGAGGAGTAACAAAGTTACTTGGTTTTGCCCATTGAGTTGTTGTTATAAACACCACACTTTGCTGCCGTAATCACAGTTTTGGGAAGAGATATGCAAGAGAAAGTCGGGGTGCTCAGGGAATGTGTGTTGAGAGATCTGACCTAGTTTGGGACATCAGAGAGGGCTGCCTGGAGGAGGTGAAACTGCCCAGAGTTAAAAGTGAAACTCCGGGGGCGGGGGTTTGGTAGGAGTTAGTGGGTTGCAAAAGGAGGGCAGTGTTCCAGGAAGCGGGTGTCCCTGGCTTCTTCACCCCATGTGAGGGCTCCACCACTCCCCTGGGGCCGGCTGCCTTAGTCAGTTGTCTCCGCCTCCTGGCCACAGCCTGGAGAAACGGGATGTCTCCCAAAGACCCAGGGGCCTGCTTGAAGGCCCTTTGCCAGAAAGGCGAGCAGGTGCAGAGAGAGCCTAGGTCTGAGCCTCTGGCCAAGCAGCCTGACTGCTTGTCCTCCTGAGCACTTTGGCCCCAGCGTCTCAGCCGGCCACAGCCCCCAGCACCCTGAGGGGGCTCCCGGGTGCCTTTACTTTCTGAGCAGGGCTGGGGCCGGGCACCTCGCAGCCTCCACACCCCCTCTGCCAGTCCATATGCAGGGCTGCTCAGCCGGGAGCCGGTGCGTGGTGTTGGCTGCTCCACTTAATGGTCAGGGAAGGAGGCAATCGTGTACCCATCTGCCAGCTGGGAGCTTGTGTGGAGGAAACCCATTAGTGGCCGCTGCTCAGGTGCCAGCCTCAATTAGCCCGAGTAGGAACAAAAGGCAGCAGGCAGAGTGGAGCTAAGGCTTCCTTTCCACGGCCCCGGGGGGATAGATAGCAATTTGGGGGGGGGGGCGGTCCGTGAATGAGACAAAGAGAAAGGCAGGTATTCAGCCTTCTCCTTGCTCCTGGTTTGAAGGGAAATGTTCTAGATCAGAATCAAAACCACAGGACAGGAAGTTCTCTTTCACTGAAAGCATCTGGACCGAGGCTGAGAGCAAATGGACTGTCGTTAAAGAGGTTAGAGGAGGGCTTACCAGGAAGCTGATTCTCAGAACGGTAGGGTAGGGGTGGGGTGGGAAGATGGCTGAGGCCTGGACTGGCCTCAAACCTTCAGGGGCCAGTCCTGCTAGTGAGCCTGGCTGGGAGAGCAGGGGGAGGGAGTTCTGGAGAGGGAGCCACCATGCTGATGCCTCGTGTAGGGTGTGTGGGAGTCAAAGCCATGGCCCAGGCTTTCCTGGAAGAACAGGACCCCTAAACAGACCTTCCAGAGCCCCGTGGGCACGTTAGAAACAGCAGGCTGGGTCCTGGCTGCTGGGGACTAATTTCCCCCTAGATTAGCATCCTTTTCAGGATGCCTACCCCTCATAGAAGGTCCAGGGACAGGGCTGCCAGACAAAACGTAGGATGCCTGGTTAAATGGGAATTGCAGATAAGCAATAAATAATTGCTTAATGTAAGTCTATCCCAGCAATGTGTGGGACAGACTTATACTCAACCATTATTCATCCTTTATCTGAAATTCAAATCCCACTGGGTTTTTTGTGTTTCTATTTGCCAGATCTGGCAAACTTTTAAGGGGTTTTGTGTGTTTGGTTGGTTTTTTTTCCAGAGAGTGATGTGAGGGTCTGCACCCAGTCTTAGGGAAGCAGGCAACAGTGTTCTGACTCCCAGTTCTCTCCCTGGGCCTATCCTGGGGGCATGTGGACTGTGGGATGTAACCCAGGACCCTGGCCGTGGTCACTGTGGGGAAATGGCTTCATCAGCTATATGTTCTGAGCTCAGGCTGGCAAAGGAGGTTTGGGGGAGGAGACGCTGAGGCAGGAGTAGGGAAGAGGCCCAGGCCCCTTCCCCAACCCGGCAGAAAGGGAGTCAGAGTACCTTTTGGATTCCTCCAGCTCCTTGCTGGGCGGCTCTCCCCTCCATTAGCTTGTCTGGCCTCCCTGAGTCGGAGAGAGAGGAGGTATTATTCCCAATCAGACTCCTTTTTACTCTGATGAGGGGAACACTCAGCATCTCTCACTGGGCTCTTATAAGCTCTTATAAGCAGTGGCGTTGGCCTTCCTGGCATGGGGGCCCTGGCCTCCAGCTTCTAAATCTTACTTCCTGGAAGCCCGGGAGCCTTGTGGAGCAGGAGTGAGACAGGATAAAAGGAAACATCAATATTCCAGTGCTCTGCCCCTGACACATTTCGAATGGGGAGCTGAGTGTTTCTGAGTGCCCTGGCTGGGGCACTCTGGAAACTTTTTTCTCCTTGGCCCCCCATCTCCCTAGGGCAAAGGCTGCAATTCATGAAAATAGGCCACGGGGCTGGAGACATGGGGTTGGAGTCGGGCAGCTCCTCATCAGGCCTCTGGAGGAGACCCCTCAAGAGGGCTGATGATGCCAGGAAATCACAGACCTGCAGAGTTCATTATACATCCCGTCGGGGTCTGCCCCAGACGCACTTAAACACATGTCTCTCCCTGGGGTCGCTCCCTACGGTTCATGCTCTGGGCTCTGGCCCATCTGGTTTTAAATGAACAAAACGATGGGACCACAGAATCTTCCTCAGGAGAAGACTCTGGAGGCAAACCACCCTCAGCCGGATAGGTTTGCTCCTGACCGCCAGCAGCCACTCTGTGATTTTCTTTCTTTTTTCTTTCTTTCTTTTTTTTTTTTTTTGGATCCTACATATCCTTTCCTGTCCCCAACCTGGATAAGCCTCCGCTGCCTCTGGGCCAATTCCTAATCCCCAATTTCCTCCAAACTGCTAAAAATGGATGTCTTTTGCTGCAATTGTTTGAGGTTAGCTACACTTGGCTCCGGGGCCGCCCTTGCCCCTTCCACCCCACCTCCCTCAGCCCTCCGACCCCGGGCCTGTGGATGTTTCGGGTTTCCTGGGTGTGTCTGCCGTTCCCCTGGAACAGACCAGCCGCTTCCTTCCTCTTCCCTTTGTGCTCACCACACGGCTCCTTTCTCAGAGGGCGTTTGTCGTTCCTACAAGATGTCTTACGGTCTTTTGATTTGACAATCGTTCCTCAGTGCATGCCCTCAGCTCCACTTTCTGCCCATTTCCATATCCTAACTCAAATGGCCAGGTTGCTCCGGGCAGCCCCGGGGAGTATCACTCATTCATCGTGACCACACGTTCTCTGAGAACCAGCCGACTGGAGGGGCCCTTAGGTTTATCGACACTCAGGGTGGATCTGGATGGAACAGAGAAGTCAAATTCTAGCGGCCACCCCCACCCTCGTGTCACCGATCCTGGGGCGTCAGCCTAAACTGGGTGCTACTGGAAATGCGTGGGCTACACAGAGCTTAACCGACTGAGCCACCCAGGCGCCCTGGGCTACCGAGAACCGTCTGGAGCTGACAAGTACACCCTGTAGGCAGTAGAAGCCCATGGCCACATACACTGATCAGCTGCTTGGGGTCTCGGGTGAGGCCTCAAAAGGGTATGTTCAAGCAGCAACTGCTGACCGATCCCTCGGTCACCTTTTGGGGAGGATGCCCAATTAGCTGCTGGCCTCTGGCTTTGCTATGTGGAGATGGAGTGTGCATTTGGGGCGGGAGCTAGAGGAGAGGCCAGGCCGTGCCCTGGCCTTAGCTCTCAGCTCCTCCCCCATGCAGCCCTTGCCGTTACCTCTAAGTGCGTCAGGAGCACATATCAGTTCGAATGAGTGACAAATGATGACTGCCTGGGGCACCTGCAGATTTCTGCAGATCTCTGGGGATTCCAGTGCCCCACTTCCTTACTGTGTAATCTCGGGCACCCCTTTTTCCTCTGTTGTCTCTGCTAGGTCCAGGAGTCAGGCAGGCTTCAAGAGAAAATCCTCCCGTGCCTGGACACCCTCACCCGCCTTCCCCCCCGAGCCACGCCCCCACGCATGCCTCCCTCCCAGCCAGCCACAGCAGCCCCCAAGAGCCGCCTGCCAGTGCTGCTCTCCCCAGGTCCTTGTAACCTTCTCCGGTTAAGGGCAGTGGGTGCCCTGGGGCCCTCATGAGGTCTCTCTGGAAGCATGGGACATGGTGGCCCGTCCCTCCACTTAAAACCTCTTGTTGTGGGGCGCCTGGGTGGCGCAGTCGGTTAAGCGTCTGACTTCAGCCAGGTCACGATCTCGCGGTCCGTGAGTTCGAGCCCCGCGTCGGGCTCTGGGCTGATGGCTCGGAGCCTGGAGCCTGTTTCCGATTCTGTGTCTCCCTCTCTCTCTGCCCCTCCCCCGTTCATGCTCTGTCTCTCTCTGTCCCAAAAATGAATAAACGTTGAAAAAATAAATAAATAAAACCTCTTGTTGAATAAACGTGTCTTTTGATTCTCTTCTTCCTTCTGTGGCTGGACTCTCTCTTCTTGACTCTACTGTCTATCCCTTGTGCGCTCCAAGCATCAGACATCGTTTTATACCCATTTACTCATTTATTTATTCATTTGGCAGATAACTGAGGGTCACCGACGATGGGCACGTCCTCTTCTGGGGCCCGGCTGTAATGGTGAGCAGACCCCGGCTCTCACGGAGCTAACGTCTAGTGCGCGGGTACGTGGGAGGAGTGTGGGAGGCGTGCAAGGAGCAAACTGATGTGCGCGAAAAACACGGATAGCCAACAGCATTAAAATGCGACAGCGCGATAGGCTGCCGAGCGGCTGCTGTCGAGGGTGCTCGGGGAGGCCTCTCCACCGAGTGGCACTCCCATGGAGAGCCACAGGGCAAGGAGGGTGAAACCTGGGGCCGTCAGGGCGCAGGAGGTTCTGAGACCAGAGACCAGCAAGTTCCAAGGCTCGGAGTGGGGAGCTGGGGAGGCCGTCAGAGAAGCAGAGAGAAGGCCAGAGTGGAGCAGGGCAAGGGGGGCGGCAGGGAGGTGTGCTGAGCAGGGCGTGCTCACACAGAGCTTTGCAAGCCGGGCGAGGGGTGGGCATTCGATCCTGGTGGGGAAGAAGAGGCACTGGAGGGTTTGCTGCTCTGTAGAAATGGGGTCTGGTCACCGCGGGGTGGGCAACGTGCTGTGGGAAACGGGGAGCGGGCAGGAGCGGGAAGGAAGCAGGCTGCTTCTGGAGAGACAGCCAAGGAGCTCCGAGCAGGTGGAGAGGAGAGGGCACCCGGGCCTGCCTGGCGTGGAGACAGGGCCCGCAGGCTGACCTGGATGGCCTGGATGGCCTGGAGGTCGCACAGGAGAGGGAAGATTTGGGATTTGCCGTCAGTCACAGGACAAGTGGCTAGGCCACTTGTGAGCCCAGAGGAGGGAGGGGGAGGCAGGCTGTTTCCGAGGGAGGGGTGTGGCCTCAGTCTATCTTCACCCTGAAAACTGGACACACCTCCAGCCTGTCGCTTCATCCTCGCCATGCCCCTGACCTCTGCATTCGTCTCTCCAGCCACCCCTGGCCTTCTTTAAGCGCCTTGTCCACAAGACCCTCAAGTTCAACCTCCAGTGGCGGAGCAGGAAATCAGTTTGGGATCCAACTTCACTTCCTCCATCTGAGCCCCCTTCCCACACCTAGGGAGTCCCTGCTTCCTGTCTATTTGAGCATCTAAGTGCTCCTGGGTTTTGAGCCCACTCCCCAGCTGCCCCGCCCACTCCCACCAATTCCCTTGCCGGGCCGCAGGCCAAGGGATTCCTTTTTTTTCAGAGCACAAGCCTGACCATGCCATTTTCCTTCTCAAAACTCATCAATGACTCTCCTTGACCTTCAGGACGGGGTCCAAACTCTTCAGATTCCCTGCCCCATGCCTGGCTCTCCAACCCCACTCCTCACCTCGCTTGTGGCCCACCGCGCCCCAGCCAAGCCCAGCGACACAAGTAACCTAAGCCAGCTGCCTTGTGCCTGCCAGACTTCGCCCAGGACCACGGCCCTTCCCCGGAGCTCTCCTCAACTAACTGTACGCCTCCCTCATGTTCCCATCCTATCTGCCTTTCAGCAATAAGCTCGGTTAAGAACCCCTTTTTCTGGTTTATGTTTATTTATTTTTCGAGTGGGGGGAGGGGCAGAGACAGAGGGAGACACAGAATCCGAAGCAGGCTCCAGGCTCTGAGCTGTCAGCACAGAGCCCGACGTGGGGCTCGAACCCACAAACCGTGAGATTATGACCTGAGCCGAAGTCAGACGCTCAACCGACTGAGCCACCCAGGCACCCCAGGACCCCTTCTTAGAAGCCTTCCTGAAGCCTCCTCACCCTGTCCTAGGGAAAACCCAGCCCTGGGATAAGCTGAATGCGCCCCAAATCATGCACTAGAAGGGCTCTGGCTCCTAGTCACCGACCTCAGGTAACGGGGCGGGTAGAAACCCTTACCTCTCTTCCGCCTCCCCGGGCTCTCCACCATTCCACCAGGCAGTGAGGCTGACTAATTCTGACTCCTAAGTTCGTTCCAGGCAGCTTCTGTTTCTATTTTATAGATGAGGAAACTTGTTCTGCCCGCTGACACTTTCCACGGGTGCACACGCCCCCCACGGTCACGAAGCAATGATTTGCGCAGTTGAAAGATGGCTGCTTCCCTTTCTTGACTGAAGGTTGGGGAGAGCAGGACTGTGTCTGCCTGGGGGGGCCGCATGTCTCAGGCACCCAGGAGCGCCTGAACGCGTACGCAGGCATGCTGTGTTTTCTGGATGAGCACGCATGCCTTTCGCAGGCTTGTTGCATCTCTGAGTCCCTTAATGAACGCTCCAGGCTCCTGCTTGTCCTCCTGCCTCTCACCCCTCACCCAGTTACTGGTCTCTTAATGCTTCAGCATCAGCCCAAATGCCCCCTCCTCCGGGCCGTCCTCCTTGACTTTCCAGTTAAGTCAGCTCTGGTTATACGCACCACGGCGCTGTATAATTTTCTGTCCTTGCCCTTACCTGAGAGGACTTGTAAATACCCCCTTCTCTGACTGTTTGCTCACGTCTGTCTTCACTAGGCTGCGAGCTTCATGAGTCCAGGCACTGTGAGTGTTTGGTCACCCTGCGCTCTCAATGCCTGGCACAGTGCCTGGAGCGCGGCAGGTGCTGAATAAATATTTGGTGAGCGAGTGGACAATCGAGAATAATGGATGAGGAAGGGCTTTGAAAACTGTAAAGTTCTGGGGCGCCTGGGTGGCTTAGTCGGTGAAGCACCTGACTCATGATTTCGGCTCGGGTCACGGTCTCACAGTTAGTGAGTTGGAGCCCCGCATCAGGCTCTGTGCTGACAGTGTGGAGCTGCTTGGGATTCTCTGTCTCCCTCTCTCTCCGTCCTTCCCCTGCTCTCTCTCTCTCTGACTCTCAAAAATAAATAAATAAACTCTAAAGTTCTACCGCGGTTTCCCAACCTTTCTTAGGCCCCCTGTCTATAACACTGGCCCTACATGGGGGTGATTCTTAAATTTGTAGGGATGGGAAGACATGGATGGCAGTCTCTTGGCAGGCAGGTGTAATTTAGACATGACCCAAAGTAAATCCGATACCTTCCCCTCCCTTGCACACACACATACAGAGCTGGGCACGTGTGCACATGCACACATCTGGGCTCTCTCTGTCACACCCAGAGGCATGGGATCTTTCCGGGTTTGTGTGGTGCTGTGTGGCAATATGTTCTGTACGTGTGTATTACTTTCTGCGGGCTGATCTTACATTGTCAGCTCCCAGAGAGAAGGAACTGGTGCCTACGAGAGTCTCTGTAAGGCTGTGAGTACTTAAAGGAAGTAGACACTGAATCCGTGACCAGCTAGTAAATTGCGTTCAAAGCCTTTTTCCGTGGAAGGCAGGCAGGGAGAGTATGGATGTTACCTTGGTAGCGGACGGGGGAAGTGTTCAAGGACTTCGGTCTCCGGAGGGATCACTCCAGGAAGGCCGAGCAGAGGAGGTGAATGCCCTCGGCACTCTCCACCTTGCCTCTGTGTGGCGGACAAGTGCAGATGTGGCCGCTGCTGTGTCCCCCTCCCGGAAGTCCTGATGTTGGACGATCCCTCGACATCGCGGCTCTGTTTCCCTTCCTTCCAGAGCTGGAACTCGTCCAGCGGCCTCCCTGGCAGATTTCACACCGTCAGCATCAGAAAGGGCCTCGAACACTGAGGTTGTTCCCCAACTCAGCGTGAACTCTTCCAGAGATGGGGAGCTCACTACTTTGCAGGGCGGCCCCTCCCACTGTTGGCAGCTCGTGGTCATTTCTCCTTTTCCTGAGCCAGCCGTGCCTCCTGGCCACCAGCACGTCTCTCTGAGAACCTGCATCTGTCTCCCTCTTAGAGGAAGAAGGGGGTTACTCAGCGGGGTGGCCAGCAGCTGGAGGAGACTGTGTGCGGTGCCTCCCTCCCCACTCCCCACTCCCACTGGAGGGGGGTTCCTCCTCTGTGCTCCCTCAGGCCCCGTGGTCCCTCACCCAGCTATGACTTACCTAAGTGTGCGTCACCCAGAGGATGGGTACATTTGATTGCTGGGGAAAACGACTTTTTCTCTTATGCCTTTCAGAAAGTAAGTCATGATTGGTCTAAAAATAGCCTGTGGAAATCAGAAGAAACAAACACACGCACACAAAAATGATACTAAAAATCCAGAGTACCTAATTATAGGAGAAAGGAAATGGTTTGGCAGTGATGTTTTCATATTTTCTCTGAATCAAACATTGTGCAGGGAGAGTGAAATACATTAAGCATTGTTAATAAATTTTCCTACCCAGAGACTCAAAAATCCCTCTGTCAAGCTATTTACAACCTCCATGGGCATTCCTGAGTTTGTGGTATTTAGACTTGCTTGCCTCTCTGCTTTTTCCCCAGGCAGCCTCTGCTCACCACCATAAACCTCACAACACGCATAATCAATCAGGCAGCCTGTCACAGTTGCTCAGTCCAGACACTGAGCAAGCACCTTGGGTGAAGAAAGCTCCGTAGAGGGCACTGAGTAAAAATTATCAACTGGATGGTTCATGAGTCTATAGGAAAAAAAAAAAAAAAAGGAGAGATCACTAGGAATCATCCTGGGTTCACCAAGCACAAGTCCAGCCCAAACAACCTCCTTTCTCCAGGCTGATCGGTTGTCTAGACTGGTGGATATGGTGTGTGCTATGAACGTCGCGTATGTGGATTCCGGCAAGGCCTTTTGTGAAGACTTTGATGTAATCCTCGGGGACAAGATGGAAAACTGTGGATTAGACAGTAATAGAGTTAGATGGATTAGCAGGCAGAGTGCAAAGTGAGCCAACGATGGGGGGAAGGAGCCAGGGGAGCTAATGTAATCTTGGACGATATCAATCGAAGCACAGAGCCCAGAAGAGGGGAGATCGCGGCGTGTGCCTCTGTGCTTGGCAGTGGCCAGACCACATCTGGAGCATCGCATTTCATCCTGGGAGCCATAACTGAGCGAGGACGTTGACAAATGGGATGGCATTTGGAGCCGGGGGGCGGGGATGCCCCAGGGCCTACACGCTACGCCACGTGAGCAGTGGTTGAGGGAGCTGGGGACCTGAAACCTGGAAGAGAGAACATCTAAGTGGATCCTGACAGCTGTTTTCAAATATTTAAAGGTCTGCTGTGGAAGACAGAGCGGAAATATCGGATGCAGTGTCAGAAACACAGCACTTGACTGCAAGGTGGATTTCGGTTTGGTCCGTAGCACATCGACAAGAAGGGCGCAACTCTGAGCCGTGAAAGGGGGTTTTCTGCGCTTGGCCACCTGCATGGGTTTCCTTCCCTGGAGCAAGACTGGAATGTGGGGCTTGGTCTGTGTACCCTCTTCATTTCTCTGGCTCACCAAAAACACACCAAGCCCTGTGCCGAGCCTGGAGGAGGATGGACGGACACAGGGGTGCCTAGGACATTGGCCTTGCCCTCCAGGGCTTACGTTTGAGTCGGAGAGATAAACACAGAAACAGCTACTGTTCACACAAGGATTTCCCTGCAGTTTAGCAGGAGGAGCCTTCCTGTTCGGCTGCTAACTCGCTGTGTGACTGGGGCAGATTATAGTACTTCTCTGTGCTGCAGGTGGGTCCTAGGTGGATCCTAGGGCTGGTCTTCTGCCTTTGCAGCGGGCGCTAAGCAGCTGGGAAATTTGTGTAAAAAGGCAGGCTTCTGCCCCACCGATGCAGTGGTTCCGGGGTGGCCAGGTGATTCCAATGCTGGGGGCACACGGATCACTGACAAATACTGGCGGAATTAGGAAATAACGTGGCCCCTAGAAGAAGCGTCAGTTTTCTGCTGAGAGTTGGGCTGGAAGGGAGTCCAACCAGTAGGAGGCCGTGGCCCTGAGCGGAGGAGGAAGGAACGCGCCAGCCAGCCTTAGGGCAGTGAGAACCGGCACACAAGGACGGTTCTCAGTGGAGACACAGAAGTGGCAAGTCTCGCCGTGTGGGACAAAGGGGGAGACACGTTCAGACGACTCTCCGGGATAAAGCTTTATATTTGTTTCGCAGATAGACTGCCCTTGAGGCTTGGGATGGTGAGTGGCCACGGTCTCTGGACTGTAGCTTCTGACCACTGGCCTGGCAGTCTGAGGATGTGCTGGGCCTGGTGTGCAGAGGGCGGTCCCTGCTCTTAAGCAACCTGGAAGAGGGACAGGTGCGTGTCCCGCCCCCCCACCCCCAGGAACCCACAAATGGAGGCCCCTGGGGGAAAGGATTCTAGCCGCTAGGCGCTTGCCCATGGCAGATCCAGTGGTCTCCTCCCCCCTCCACTGCCCTTCTCCCTCTCTCCCCTCCGTGCCTTCTTCCCCTTCCTCCTCCAGGCAGCAGGGCCAGGGAAATAATGAGGTTGCCCAACTGGCGGTGCACGCGCCATCAGGGTGTAGAATGAAGACGGATGACTGTAGCTAAGAGACAATTTGAAAAGGGATAAATACAGGCAACAAGTTATTCACCACAGCAATTTGTAAAGAGCGTTAAAAACCTGCAGATGGGTTGTTTCACATCATCTCCTTTTCCATTTGCAGGCTGACAGGCCCGTGTAAACGACAGTGATGGATGGCCTTGGGCCGGGCCCCTTAATCTACAGCTCTGCCATTGA